AAAAAAAAAAATTGTGGTCAAAGAAAAAAAACTAAAACTAAAAACAAACAAGATAAGCACACGTGTATTTAACTATTTAAATAAATAAAGAGATAAATTGAGGAGCATACAGAGTGGGAGGAGGCACGGGGACTGATGAGACGGACACGCGGTGACCGTCGAAGAGGATCGCAGCCATCCAAATCATGGCCGTTATGGTGGTTAATGTGATGATTATGGTGGCGACGATTGTTATTCTGGTGAAAGTTCCGATTTGCAGAATAGGCAAACGCCGGATCCGGATCCGGCCGGCCAAATCTCGACCTCCGAGTGGAAAACAGCTCCGAAGCGCTCGTCATGCACCTCCAAGACCTCAAAAAAAATACCTGGATCCGATTCTGCGCAATATTTCCTAATTATATACTTCAAAAAAAAAAAATTATTTCAAAATAATATCATTTTAATAAATTTCTATTAAAAATGACTAAAATAATTTACTTTTAAAGTATGAATAAGACTATTTTAATATTTTTCATGTGTGTTTTAATAAAACAAAATATTTTTGAGGCATTTTTTCTCTTAATTTTTTAGAAACTCTAATGATAAACACTAATATCTTGATATATTAATTAAGAATTTCTTACATTGATGGTTTAACAAGAAAAAAAGAATTTAATGCGTGAATTTCCAATGATTGTTTTTTAGCCCAATAGATGACTTATTTTAATTAAATCAAGTAGTGTACGGGCTTTATTTTTTACTTAAATTTATAATATTGAAAAACTTAAAATTTAAAATATAATTTTTTGGACTATGTGGGTGGCATGTAGGCGTAGACATGGTAACTAACAGAAAGTTAAGGCACTAGACCATTTTGATAAGCCCGAACCTCTATTTGCATCATACATTTTTCCTCCTCGAAATTAATACTTTAAATTAATTTTCATTATGGTCAACATTCTCTATAATTTAAAATTTATAAATTTAAAATTTGTAAAAAATGCCAAAATTATCAACAAAATTGTGGTATAAATATGGGGTTTGGCCATAAATTTAAAATGTAAATTGAGAGTTTAACCAGTAACTTTTAAGCTTTTCACATGTTTTGAATAGTAAAGAGTGTTGATTAAGATAAAAATTAGTTTAAAATATTAACTACAGAAAGAAATTTATAGGATGCAAATAAGTTCTTTGGCATTTTGATATAACATTTTTGAAGCTTGTAGACGATATTGGGACAAAATATACTTTCTAGACTAAGCCGATATCAGACCAATGGTTAATAGACCATTTATTAAATTTAGCCCTTCTTTGTCCGCATCCTCCGCCTTTCTTAAATTCCTTCTGGTATGTTCTGCGTGGCGTAAACCACCATTCAAGGCGCAATCTCGTCTACCTTCCCCGATCCCCACTTTCGAAAGGTCAAGAGACCCAAATTCTCATTTGGTAATACTTTCTTTGCACTCTTTCGTCAGTCATGGGTGGAGGAAATGGGCAGAAATCCATGATGGCGCGTCAGAAGCACATGGAGAAGCAGAAAGCTGCGAAGGGTATGGCTTTTTTTCCTTTTTTCTCTCTTTCTCTTGTTCCCGCCGAGTTTAGATGTGTCTTTTTTAGTTTTCTTTCATCCGGGTCCTTGTAGATCTATGTCATTTCCATGATCTTGGGTTTGTATGTTGATTTTTTTGTCTACAGGGAGCCAGCTTGACTCCAACAAGAAGGCCATGACCATCCAGGTAGTGTTTTTGCATGCTCTGGCTGCACTTCTGCTTATTTTATTCGGAATTTAGTAGTTTCTTTGTCTGATCTGTTATTTAGAACTTGGGTTTATGGCTGGTTTTCAACCTGCGGTTTCTGGATGAAATTGAAGTGGGTACCATCTTGTTATTTGGGGAGCAATTAATCCCTGAGAAAGTATTCTTTCTCGGTTAAGATTATTCTTTCTTGGTCTAGTATTTATAGTGGTAATTGTGTACTGTAAATCCTGAAAATTGTAGATGTGTATGTTTAGGGGTTTAATAGGATTAACTGATGGTAGATGGCATTTGTTATCACTTACCTAGCTTCTTGATTTAGGCTGTATCATAGGCAATAATGCCTAAAACTAGTAAATCATAATTGGATGTCTGGTGCTCAAATATGTTGAAGTAAAATTGGTTTACAGCATAATTTTCTATGATATTAACTGCATCATTCCCAACCTTTTGCGGACGAGCGTGTGGTGATTTGTTTTCTTATTTGGCTGATTCTATCTTATCTGGCTGATTTGTGGTGCATAGGTATCATGGTAACTGTCATAGCTTGGTGTCATGCAACGTGTTGAAACTTATCTGTTCATGTCAGTTAATAAATTTCATTTTAACTTGGCAACGAGACCAATTGGTTTAGATTACACTCACATTGCTTATTTGCATCAACGAAATATAACGGTGACCCTGATATAGATAGAGTTAGTGAATATCAACAAGTTGTGCAAAGTTAGATATCTAGTGCAAGAATTTGGTGCACTATGTAATTAATAGTCATCATCCATTAAATAACTTTTCACTTGCAGCATTGACATATATCATCACTTCCGCTTTTGGAATGAGCAAAGTTTGTACCTCTACCCCTCTCCTTTCATGGTGCATTTCAAATATTAAAAATACTATTCTCTTTACTAATCTTTAAGAACATGTTTGGCTTAAGTTATTTTAGGACTAAATAATTGTGAAATGAACATAGAGCAGGATTTAAGAAGTGCTTGCAAGTAAAGGCCTTGCATTGTTGTGACCATGGTGCATTTGTTTTCATCTTGTGTCAAGATAACTGCCCAATCAATTATTGCTTTAACAATTTCATCGTTTCTTGTGGTTTATAGTTGTTATTTTTCCATTTGTTTTCTATTTTATTATTTCTCTAGTCATTTTCTTGAGTTAATTTTGTTAAATAAATTTTAGACATCTTATTGAGCTTGTTAACAAAGATCATGACCTGTGATTGTTGTTCTCTTCATTTTTGCCTTGTCATGGGTTCCTCTGTCCTCGCATCTGGTGGATCATGTTAATGAATGCAGTGCAAGGTGTGCATGCAAACATTCATGTGTACCACAACAGAGGTGAAGTGTCGGGAGCATGCTGAAGCAAAGCATCCCAAATCTGACCTTTACACATGTTTTCCACATCTTAAAAAGTGACAATCATAGTGCAAAACAAGAACTAGGAGATTGAGACTGCTTGTAATATGTATCTATCATCTGCCATGGTTGAACTCTATGTGTAGCTTCGTTTTTGGTACATCTATGTTTAGTTTCTTAATGTTTGTTTCTTAAGCCTGTATGCCAACAACTGAGTTTTATGGGTTGATGAATCTGACTGCTATGGATGTCATGCTAGTATATTTTATATAACTGTAATGGCTCTCGATTGAATCCCATTGGTTATTTTGGCCTGGTATCCGATGTTGACCCATCATTAACTCAAATGACATTTTTTAGAGCGCACCAGAATTCAAATGAAAAAAAAAAAAAAATGTAGTGCTATTTCAGCAAATAGCGTAAGTGGAAAAGAAGCCGAAACAATGTGACCAACTTGGTCTACTCGGTAGTCCACTAGTAGTGGGCGTAGTGGCTTCGGTTGGTCAAACACCTGGAGCCCCAGGTCCGAGTTTTGAATACCCTTCCCCTCCC